ATTGAAATGTCTTTGTAAATAAAGTGGACTGAACATATACAAGTGTTATTTGTTGTTCATTTGTATACCACATGGTGGCAGCATTGATCTCACTTTAATCTAATTGTCACTGTAGGCAGAAATGACTTCACAGTTGACTGTCTTTACATGTTGGTGAACATACTGACTGTTCACGTAATGCAATGACCAGTGCACCTTTATTACTGGACGTACTAATGTCCTAACTGGAGTAAAGTGTCATCAATAAACGAAAGAAGCAGAACATTTACACAACGTGTTTCACATTGGTAAAAGAAATTTGGAAGAAGGAACAAATTGAAAGCCTTCGCCCAGCCGGATACTGGATGATGTTGCACCTTCAGTCGATGATGATGATGAGGTAATAGAAAGCAGTCCAGTCATTTCTGTTTTTAAAAACAAAACAAAAAAACCCAAAACATCAAAAAAGCCAAGTACATCGTCACTGCTTTCTTAGTAATTCAGAGGGTAAGTAGCAGCCAGGTGCTGCTAATAAGAAAACAAAAAAAACCCACTTGATTTAATTGATCATTGGGAAGTGTGAGTGCTTCTGTAAAAGCATGAGCTTTGCTGGTTTGGACTATTTAGATTTGTTAACACAATGCAGCAAAATTCTCAGGAGTGGGCACCCTGCAAACCAAACCAAAGGAAAAACAAAGCTACATCTCAGACTACACGCGCAGTCAGCACACTGATTATTGAACTTCCTGACAATACAATTAGAAAAAGACTAAAATATGGCTTATCTCGAAGAGTTGCCAGGATGAAGCCTCTTCTAAAAACAACATGGCAGCGCAGCTTAGGTTTGCAGAGTTGCATCTGAACAAAACCACAAGACTTCTGAAACTATGTCCCTTGGACAGACAAGACCAAAGTGGAGCTGTTTGGCAGTTGTGCACAACTGGTGAGCACAAATGCCTCATACCAACTGTAAAGCACAGGGAGGGGAGGGGTGATGATCTGGGCTTGTTTTTCAGCCACCATGGACACCTTGGGGGCAGTTCAACCATGAACAATTACATACCAAAGTATTCTAGGACTCAAAGATGAGGCCTTCTGTCCGACAGCTAAAGCTTCAACCAAACTGAGTCATGTAGCAGGGTAATGATCCCAAACACCCGAGTAAATATACACAGTGGCTAAAAAAGAAAAGAATCAGGATGTTACAATGGCCCAAAGTCCAGACCTCGACCTGAAATGCCAGCAAATCTTAATGAACTGCAGCAACTTTGTAAAGAAGAGTGAGCCAAATTCCTCCACAGCGACACGAGCGACTGATAGTCACATACAAAATGATAACTTCAAGTTATTGCTGCTGAAGGTGGTTTTACAGGCTATTGAATCTTAGCCTCTACCTAAAATTCTACAGTCATGTAAAAATGTTTTTGCAGGACTGTAGAATTAATGAGGCCTTGTTCTGTAATTTAGACGATGACTTTATTTACCTCTGCTACACTTGCATGCAGTAGCAATGACAAAATGATAGCACTGGTTAAGCATAAAGGACTTGTATGGCAGTCATTTTTGGCAAAGTTGCTGCAGTGCAGTGTAAGGTGCAATATTTTATTTTTTTTTGCCTTCCAAGTGTGAAGGGAGTACTTTTTGCTTTTTAAACAGTTTTGAAGAATGTCAAAACATTAGTGGACACTTTGTCCATTTATGGAC